GGATGAACACATCATCGATAAGGCTATCGTCGAGCTAGCGTTCTGATCTCTACCTGCTAGTGAACGAGAAGGCGGAGCACCGTAGACTGATGAACGTCATCGGCCGTGCAAACGACCCAAATTGTCAGCACTGTGCGGTAGCGAGATTGTTTTATGACAGGTGGGCAGGAGCTCACGGTCTCCCAGTGTTGGTGAGTTCTTTGCCGTTATGATCACGAAAAGTTCACTATTTTGCCATGCAGAAATTCAAAACAAAAAAATTGTATGGGCGGATTTGGACAGTTTTTGACCTGTTTAATACGAACGGAAGGTGTATGCTGGTCACAAATGCCGTGCCAAACTGATTTCCTACGCAACTAATCAATCTTTGATATGAATTTCGCTAATAAACTAGTGGTGGGCAAAACAGCTCATCTGGCTGAGCGGATAAGACCCGTCCAGCTCACTAATGAGAGCCGATTATTTCGAACAGCTCTTTAGCTCACATAGTAATTAAAACAATTCAAAATTGAAAAAGTGGTTTTCGTGACCCTAAACCAATAAGCTTAAAACTTCATAAAATCGTAAAGGTAGTCTAATCCAATAAACCCGTAGCTTACAACATGGTTCTTCTTTTCAATTGAAAACGCCACTAACGCGACCGCGTAAACCAAAATGCGCGCAAAATGTGCCAACAACATATCATTAAGAGCAAAAATAATGTGCGAGAGAGCTACAACTATATCACACGCGATGATATTTTTGTAACGCTTTTCTCATGCTATGCAATTCAGTCTACATACAGATTTTATTGCTGAACTATCGCGACACTTTTCAATAAGATCAATCTGCATTGATAAAATCTCTTCATCGACTCTCTCTTTCGTTAATAACTTGGCTACATATTAGGGTTAATTTTTCCCATAGTTCGAAAAAGAAAGTATTACTAAGCGTCTTGCACGATAAGAACAGCTGAACATGTTTTTGAAAGTGACGCGAGAATTGCTCTCACTATTCTCGGCTTCAGCTTCAAATCATCAACTCGGATCAAAAGCTGAATCGTAAAGAATCAAGAGCAAAAAGATCCGAAGAACTGGACGGGTCCGAGAGCTGAACGGGTCCGAGAGCCGAACGGGTCCGAGAGCCGAACGGGTCCGAGAGCTGGATGGGTCGGAGAGCTGTCATCCTAAACAGCTTCCAGTGAATCATCCGGGTTGATGATTTGGATCTGGAGCTGAGCTGTGAGGTGGAGAGCTGCATTTCACTTTTCGGTTATTTGCTTTTGTGCGAATCTTCCGCTCCCATAGATATTGGGGTATTTCCCCAAAATTTCACGCGGCGTATGCCTGACGAAAGGAACGGCCGCGCTTCAAGCAAAGGCCGCGGTTGGGCAGCCTGTCAAAATTTTGTAAACAAACATTGAACTTTTGCGCCTGATGAGAGTTAATATTTATCCATCGAGCACTTTGATTCAAAATTTACATCCTTTAATAATAAATATTTTTAATTTGTCACGTAAAATGCCCCACGAAGATATTTTGCACCGTGTACATAATAATCATGCAAGTGTTAATACAGTTTATCATTGCCTCTACGCGTTTTATTTTCTCGAACCGTGCTTCTCTGGCAAAAATATTTAGTAAATCAAAATCCATCATATGCCAATGAATACGCACGTACGAGCGCGACGGAGTCTTCTCAAGAAAGCACCGAACACAAGTTTATCGACGTTTTGGAACCATGCAACGACAATGGCTGCTGGATTTGTATTACAAGGAACCTGTGATCTTCATAGATGAAGCACGAGATCGCTTCCAAAAGCATTTCAAAATCTTTATCAGCGCTGCTTCCGTCATTCGGATTTTGAAAACTGCTGGACTGACATGGAAGAAGGTTGAAAGACGGGCCATTCAAATTCGGAAGGTGGATATTCTCAGGTATAAAACTAATTAATCACTATAAAACTATTTTGATGACAATTTCGATATAAATATTTCATATTAGGTCGTATGAATAAAAGCGTTTACTTTACTTTACCCGTAAGAAAAGCACGGGAAAGTAAAGTAAACTCTTTTTATTCATACGGCCCATTATCAAGTATGCTGACGAGCTAGAAGTTTTCAAGTGGGAGCTTTACCAAATTGTTTTCATCGACGAGGTTTCATTCGATTCTCGTGACATGCTGCGGAACTACGGATATGGAGTTAAAGGAAAAAAGGTCATCTATCGCGGTGGATTTAACAGGCGCCCACGGGAATCCTACTTATGCTTTCTAGGACAAACAGGGCTGCTGGAATCGTATAGAACAGAAGGTACTTTTACTCATCAAAAGTTTTTCGAGTGCATCCGGAAGTTTGAAATTCAAAGTGGAAAAGCAGAAACGTATCCAGGGCACGATTCTGTATGGATAATGGATGGTGCTAGAATACATTGTGATAAAAATATCATAATATATATTCGATCCCTGGGCATTCTACCCATCTTCTTGTCTGCATATTGCCCGATGTTCAATCCAATCGAGGTGATCTTTGGAATCTGCAAAAAGCACCTGAAGAGAAACTACGTCGAAAACAGTAAACAGTTGTTCCGCTTTATCACACAACACTTGAACACTGGGGGCGAGATTGTCTACGATGTTTTGAACAACCACCAGACCTTCACGCACACATGCTGATCGGCTTCCTTCAGAGATAGGAAGGGACGAAAACATACCAACCCAGTCTGAAGATGAGCTGGAGATGCGTGAATCCAGTTGGCCCACTGAATCCATCCAGAATCGTGGCTTCTCAAGTGGGAGTTTTGCTCTTTCAAATGTTGGACCAACTCATCGAGGTTTACGTTGCTTGGTGCTCCAGCTCTGTCTGTTTCACTTGGTTGAAAAAGGCATTTGTTGACTTCTTCCCAGATAGCCACAGAACTGACGGATTGGGAGTAGGCGAATGCAAACACATTGATAGTTTTCTCACCGACAAAGTTTTCTCTCTCCAGTTTAGCATGATTTTTCCCTCTCCTAGCTGGTCCAATTTAATCATGGTCTTTCTTTTTGCGTCCCGTAGGTAGACGAAGTTATTGATATTGCGAATATCTGGATCTTCTTTCGCAGACCACGAAACTTTGATCCCGTCAACTTCATTCACATCAATTTCCCGGCAGAGATGTGGTTTGACGAAGCTCCATATGCACTCAAAGACATCTGACAGACTGTCTCCGGATACTTTTTCGGGAACGTTTGTTTTTTCGTTGATGCATACACCTTTTTTTGCCTCGTATACTTCTTCACGAAATAATTGGCCAGAAAGTAGAATCGTTTTTGCTCTACTGCTTCCTCAGCTAAATCTCCTGCCTCTCGTATTGAATCAACACTTGCGAATTCACTGATTCAAAAATGGGTTTATCGTATAGTTGACAAGTGTTGAGCAGTCTGGAGCATCCGACTTGTTTGAAAGTTCGTCTTCGGCAAATGGGTCCTCATCCTGGCCAGCATTATACAGCGGGTCCTCGATTAGGTATTCCACTTCTTGGTTTATTTCTTCATCTGAATCCTCGTCTCGCTGGTCCATTGCTAACGTCCTGTCTAACGTATAAAACTGTGAATTAAATACGGTAGTTATCTGATATGTGACAGAAAGCAATATTTATTAATATCTTACCGTTAATCCCAGCCTCAACGAGATAATTTTCCTCAAAAACATTCGAAACCGAGATCGAATCAGATTTCCTTTTACATTTTTGACAACTGTTTGTTTTGGTTCTCAGCATCGAAGCAAGGGTTGCCAGTGGCTCTGAAATATTTTATATTTACTTAATAAATTGTACTGGTGACAAAAAACAATCCGGCAACCTTGATGCGGTGCTTGGTTTCAAAGCTGTGTTCTTTGGTGCGGTGAACAAGTTTCAGAGAATGACCCAATAATTATGAGAGGATAGGTGAGGGCACATATGCTGGAGTAATAACATCAGCAATAAGAGCCGGATACATATTAGGATTGGATAATACCAGTAGAAATTCAACATCATGTAACACATGTACATATGTCTCTCTCTCCCATACAACCGCTTGGAAGTTCGCTTTTACCGTTGATGCTATCGATCAATAGGCACATATTGTATTACGCGCGCATCTTGGTTTACGCGGAGGCTGTTAAATGCGTAAGTGGAGTAATAAGTCCTTTTTTTAAAAATTCCGCTGTAAGTGACGGACTGAATGGTTTAGACTTGTGATATAGTGAGCTGGTGAGCTGCGGTTCCTAATAAAATTAACCGCGGTCATCCGCTCACTTAAGTGGATCGGGTCTTAAGAACAGCTCGGGAGCGGATCGCCCATCTCTATAATAAACACGAGGAGTATTTCGTATAGCAAAACATGCCATAAAAAAAAATGGGCATAGTTCATTTTAGTAAACAAACTAACACTTCTTCCTTGTGTGTAACCTTTGTATTAAGCGCCTAGGTGCTGTAGTAATCGAGACTTTGCAACATAAGTTTTGTGAGTGCCCTCGAGTTGCTGCAGCTTGGGCACACATCCAGCGAAAATTGACGACGACGCTCGGCGGCTGGCAGAGGCTGAGCTTCGACGATCTTGTACGGCCAATACAGCGATGAGAAATTATATTTTAAAAACGTTCATAAAGTACATCAACTTTGTTAATGTGAATATTAATAGCCATTTCCGCTGCAAAGTTTGCAACATTTGAAAAAAAAAAAAAAAGGAAAATTTCAGCAACTACAACAACAACGTTAACGTATGAAAAATAAGCTCATGAGCAATTATTGGCAAGCAACAAATTACATGGTCTGTCCAGAGTTTTAATCAATATAGACACATGGAACATCGACTAATCGTAAGCAACAGAATGCGAATATCTTGCCATCATTAACCCATCACTTCTTATCAGAGAAGACAGTCATACAACGTTCTCCTCCACACAAACGCCAATTTCAGCACACGATGGCCCGATAAGTAAGCGTATCTCAGTCAGCACGTCTCGCATAATAGTCGTAGGTAATAGTCATGGCGTAATTGCCTTGCCAGTCTGTAAGTACCATCAATCATTGCACCACGCAATGAACACCGTCACGTTCGAACCCGTCCTGCCGGATGGAATCCCAGATGCTCGTGAATTTATTCTGCAGTATTTCTACCCTTTCGAACCGATGAACCGGGCCTACATCAACGGGAAGGAACCGGCCCAGGAAGACGTAGAATTTACTGTTGCCTATCTGAAGCAAGGCTTAGGAATCAGAGCAGTTGACGGTAGTGGACGAATTATTGGGCTTTCGCTGGAATACATTGGAGAGGAGAGTGATGTACATGCCATGCTGGACGAGGCCAAGGAGCAGAAGTGGGCCGATGTGCTGCAATTTTTGGCATACGTGCAGCAGGAGGCAAACGTTCCGGAAAAGTACGAAGCACCTTATGAGATTCAGATGGTAGCGGTTCATCCGGATTACCAGGGCAGATCGATTGCCAGGGAGCTAGTGAAGAGACAAATCGAGTTGGCCAAACGGCGAGGATTCGTCGCGGTGTACGTAGATTGCTCCAGTGTATTTACGGCAAAAATTATGAAAAAGCTGGGCTTTGAGTGCATTCATAAGATTGCACTTGCCGACTATCGAAACAAAGAGGGCTTGCAGATCTTTCAACCAGACAACGAGATCCACACCGAGATGCAATCATTTTTCAAAACAATATAATTGGTTCTGCTGGCAGTGCATCGATGCATCTGGTACCATGTAAAGCATTTATGCCCAGATAATTACAGGTACAGCTGCTGCTCGGTAAATTGAACAGAAAGAAAATACACTCGTTATCGAATGTATAGATAATGTTTTTTTTTATTGCCTATTTCTTGATGTGAACCAGGTCTGCATCGGTGATGACATATAAATAGCGCTCCTCATCGGTCGATGTTTTTAAATCCGAGTACGCATGGAAGAGTCCACCTGTTGCAATGATTCACTGGAGTTCAGTGTCGCGGAGCCGAAAGATTACGATTCTGCGTTGGATTTCGCTATCAAGTACTACTACAAAGATGAACCGATGAACAATTCATACATCGGGGGCAGTAGCCCAGCGGACGACGATGTCGAGTTCTCCGTTTCATTCCTGCTCCAAGGGATGGCAGTGAAAGCAGTGGATCGCCATAGTGAAAATCGACTGGTTGGACTATCTATCGCTAATCCCATCTACTCAGGATACGTGGATGACTTGCTGGAAGCGGCTGAGCAAGCTAAAACTCAAAAATGGCGCGACAGTTTGAAGCTGTTGGCTCATTTACAGCAATCGGTAAACGTTCTTCAAAGATTTAACGTTGAAAAATGCTACGACATCGAAATTGTGGCTGTTCATCCGGACTATCGTGGACGGTCCATTGGAGCAAGGTTATTCCAAGGGCAGTTCGATCAAGCCAAGCAGCTAGGATATTCACTGGTAAGTGCGGACTGTTCAAGCTTCTACTCGGCACAGATTGCGGAACGAGTCGGAATGGAACGAATCGGAAGACTTGCCTATTCGGATTACAGGGATGGAAACGGAGTTCAGCTGTTTCAGCCAAAAGAGCCACACTTGGAAATACAAACCTTTGCCAAATTGTTGCATTAGGATTCACTGAAAGTCGACAACAAACTAAGCTGAAATCCCTAGAATTTCCTACTCACAATTAATATAAATTTCAACGACAACATCTTTACTTAACGTTTCGAATGGCACGTCATTTTTTTAACGAAATTCCATCACGTTCTCTAGTATACCGTCTTTAAAACTCTAAAAGGCAGCTCAAATTGTTGCTTCAGTGAAATTCGTCATAAACATCCCGGCTGACGTGACGACGAAAACTCTTTTGGCAGTTCCACACTGCCAAAGAATTCCCATCAATTACAGCGACGGGATTCCGTGCCACTTTTTTTTTTTTTTGCCTCGGCTGCTGAAACGTAACACAGCCTACACACGCTCTGGAATGCCAGGGAAAGATTTTCCCTGACCTCCGGAAAATTGCAACCTCGTTCGTCCTTCTGCCCTGGAGTCATCGTTGGCTGTTTACGGAGCAAAACAAAAATGAAGAATCAGCCATTAGGAAAAACAATCGAGGCATTTTTCATCACAAATCCTTCGTCTTTTAGTTAAGCTGTGCACCGAGGTTGTTATGTTTTGGAGGGAGAGAGAGAGACAGAGAGAGGCAAATCGTAAGATAAATATGACAAGAACGTGCTGTTGTTTGAACTTGGAATTTACGCTGATTTGGTTCTATTTTAAGATTGAAGTAGGTTTTTAGGGAGGAAATCTGCGACACAAATATACTCATTTCACATAAAATAATTTTTTTTATTGGAATTATGAAATCATTGGCTGATAGGGTCATATTTTATGGTATGTGTTTGACACCTAATACCTGTAAATTCAGCTTCGTTTTTCACTCACTCATTCAGCGATCATATAGCTGATTGTCACTCTCAGAAATCGAAATGGAAGGTGTCATGTGTCAAATACATACCTTACAATCTCTTCTTGTAACATACAAGTGATTTTATGCTAAATGAGCATTGGTCCTTGGTGCGAACTTTTTGAATCACGCCTATTTTTGCAGCAAGCTTACTTACAAAACCAAGACTGTTCAAATAGATTCGTAAAACCACTCATTTAACATGGATAAGCGCTATCAAAGATTGCTTTTTTCTCCAGTCAATCCTTTCAGTCACATTGCCTCCCATCTCTAAAATTATCGAAGGAACATATTTACTCTCAAGATTGCATCGCACAACCCTTCGGTCTACGGTATTTCGATGCATAAATCACCCTAAAACCTAACCAGATCTACTTTCCATCGGATAACTGACTTGAAAGGATTTCTGAAATCTGCGCTCTTCAGCAGTGTGATTGTAATACTTTCAACAGGATTACTCCTAGAGGAAACGGCGAACATCAAGCCAACAAGTCAAGTACCCCTCAACAACATGGGAAGCATGCCCCGGCAACATATCGAGCGAAAAGTGAAAGCTGAAGGATGGAAAACTGCAATCTTCCTGAAAAGAGATTTTCATTAAATTTTGCTTTGAGAGTTCGTTCTCAAGTTTGCGAAATCTTTTTTTCGTGTGTCTCTCAGTTTATGGTAGTAGGTAGTGTGAGGAAGCAGAATGGCAGACGGCGGCTGTGTGTATCTCGATAAATCACAAGAAATCCTGCGCCAGGCTCACTCTCGCCCTCCTGGCGAAAGGCGGGGTGGGTTTTAGGGCAAAATGCGGAACACGAAGAAAACGCAAAGGCTTATAGGCTGCCGTCTCCTACAGAGCATCATAAGTGTAATTGCAATCACTCGCAGAGACGGGGAAAGAATTCGTGTGGATAAGGATGCACTCATAGAGTAGATATCCGGATGAGATGAAAAGATCAGGGACCAGCATTCTGTTGATGGATTTTTGCGATGCATTTGCACTGCACTTCTCCGAAGGAATCGGAGTTATGCCCCCCAACTGATGCATGGATATCTTAGAATGTAGCTCATAAGACATACCAATATTTTATTATTGCTTATTTTAAGGAAAATGCTATGTTAAACATTATTGGACCGGATTAACTGACATGCTCAAACCGTGATAAGAGAGGGCAATAGCCTGAATGATCATACATCGTGTGCCATTTTGATTGGAGTCATTTTGGGAACTGGTTGAAATAACTAAGATGGCGACAAGCCCCAAGTTCCAATCGAGACATGTTAGACACATTCTAGCGTAACGGGACACTATGAGGAGCCGACTTTCATTAACATTTTAAGCCCGTTATCAGAAATAAGCTTTATGGCCAAGTGATAAAGCAGGTTTTAAATTATGCCTACTAAGGCCGTTTGCAATACTGATGTATTTTATATGTATTTTTTTTATTAATTTATTTGACAAGGCTCAACCGAATTAACTTTACAGAACCGAAGATTCTTGTTCATTATACAATACATCTTGAAACTATAGTCAAAAGGTAGAACACAATAAACATTTTTTCTTCCGCTATCCAATAAGCCTCCTCTACCAGAACGGGAGCCGCTTCCAGTGCTTTACTTGTATGGCAGATTCGCCAACGAGGGTCAGAGCACTTCCATTGTAGCAATAATGGACGCAAAACGTGGTCAGCACTCACACATTCATCACGAAACGGTTGCTTTGCAAAGTCGACGATGCATCGACTGAAAAAACTGCTGATGAAGAACAATAAGGAGGACCACACAATGGTTGCTGCCGAGTGACGAAAAAATTTCAAATACATGTTTGCTGCTGGATGTACCTATGCTTGCCATGTGTGATTGTGAAAAACTTGGGAGCTGAAAAATGAAATATAAAAAAAACTTTAATAAAGAATAAATAAATTCTCGAGGATGAAACAAACTGGATAAACCACTGTTTTTTGCAACTTTGAAAATCTCATAGTTTTTAAATGATTTGAAATTTATTTTTACTTACCTGTTAGTAGCTCATTGTTCAAATTCAATAAAATTGAAATAAAACCGTTATTTTAAAATTTCATACTATTTTATCTGTCAAAGAACACCTCATGATGTAAAGAAGGAATCAACTCCAAAAGAAAAATATTTGTAAGTATTTCCAAAGAATTTTTCATAACTCAACTCCAAGAGAAAAATAATTTGTGATTATTTCAATTGAATTTTTTAAACTATTTTATTTTTGTAAGAACTACTCATCATATAAAGATCTAAGAGAGAAGCGATTTGCGATCATCGCAATGGAGTTTTTCAAAGTTTATCTGTCAAAGAACAGCTAATGCTCTAAGAAAGGAGTCAACTCCAAGAGACACATTATTTGTGAGTGTTTCAATTGTATTTTTCATAAAAAAAATATATCTATCAAAGAACAACAGGGAAAAAATGTGATTATTTTAAATGAATTTTTAATGTGTTTATTTTATTTTTCAAAGAACTGCTCATCATATCAAGAAGGAGTCAACTTAAAGAGAAAATTAATTTGTAAATATTTCAATTGAATTTTTCCTAATGAGTAGGCTGCGCGTGAGAATGAACATGACGTTCGTTTTTTTCCTCGGAGTTTTTTATGCTTATTTGATTATTAATCCGTTTTACATTTTCGAAGATGGACAAGAACGTGATTATCCATTTCAAAAGAAATCAGACGTATGCAGAACTGCATTCCATCCCCCGAAGGGATACTGGCTGTACGTCATGCTGTTGTATTGGCTGCGATTTGGCGCTGACATACGTTTTCGAAAACGAAGAGGAACCTTTATTGGAACCAAGATATTCCATTGTTCGTCGTATTCGCGTCAAGGAATTGCAAGTTGCTGGACCTGATACTTGGCTACCTACACTCGGATCTAGCAATCGACTACAATCGACTATCTTTTATCAAAAGCCGGAGGTTCACTACATTTGCACACTTCAAACAAGTTCTACATAGAACGGGACTAGTTTATGTTCATCCCCATTAAGCAAACCGTAAACAATAGCAACAATAGTACGAATGTTTCCTCTGGATTCATTTGGACTAACTTGGTGAGATCGTATCTGATTTTATCTATTTAAACATATACATGATTCTCTTAAATTTGACTAATTCTTCCCATCCCATTTTTGTGTCTTTGAAATCATCTTTGAACGCCAAATGGATTGTCTGTACATTTTTGAGCATGTGGTGGAACATTACTGTAAATTAGAGAGGGTCTAGTATAAGAGAGGAGCGGATTCGAAACAAAATGCTTTGGCAACCTATGTCTAGGTGGTTTCTAGCAACACTGCCAATGCAATCCAGATAGGCACTGCTTGATTGGCTCTGGCTTTGACAGTTCATTTGGCTCAATACCAGGCAGTCCGCTCCACTCTTATACTAGACCCTATCTACTGTAAATCATATATCCTGGGTTGGGGGCAGCCTAAGGGAATCAAAGGATTTGTTGACTGGACGAGGGTTCGTGGATTTGCCAGGCCCTTGTCACGTGATAACACATGGCCATCTGGTTGTTTTGTCTTCCAAAGGTCTTCAATGAAGCGGATTCACCCTGCTGTAACAAACCATCAGGCAGAACTTTACAACCGGTTAAGTGTCTACAGACATTGGTAATCCTTGAACTGATGGTGGGTCCATTCACATCACATCACATTACATTTCATATGAATTTTTCCTAAAAAAATTGTCACGAAACAGCTGTAAATAAGGAGTCAAATCCAACATAGATGTTACTTTTGAGAATTTTATGATTTAATTTTCAAAAGCTTTTATCTGTCAAAGAACAGCTCAAGATACAAACAAGGAGTCAAATCCAAGAGCAACATAATTTATGAGAATTGTATGATAGATTTTGCAAGAGCATTTAACCATTATAGAACAACTTAAAAAGCCCGATTCAAAGTAAATTTGGACGCATTCAAGTGATCATAACTCAAGAATTAAACAACATACACGGTAGATCAAAAGGTCAAGCAAAAGGGTATTTATTCAGCTTTCAAACGATATATAACAAGTTATTACATTTCACCGTTTCGAACGAACTGTCGCACTTTACTTGTGATCGATGCCATCATGATCTGTACAGTCGCTGGTGACACTGTAGCGGCGAACTTATTCCACTTTAAATGCATTTGTTGTGCA